TACATACAACTCAAATAGAATGCCAGACAACGCTTTTCACATACAGACAACTACAAATCAATTTTAAAGAATTCATTTCACATTACAGACAAATCAAATGGAATGCCAGAAAACTCTTTTCACTTCATAGAGAACTACAAACCAATTTTCAACATCCGAAGAGAGACACCGGGTCGTGCTTCGGTTTATGGAGGATTTCAGATCGGCGAGCGTTGAGGAGAGGGGTTCGTGGGGGTGAGGACGAGGGTTGGTTGTTTCGTGGGGGCCATGATGACGATTGGTTGTTTCGTGGGAGCCAGGACGGCGGTTGTGGAGGATGGCTTGGGAACTGTTGAGGTTGGTGCGGGAAGGGAGTTCTTGGAAAGTTGCTGGGGAAGGAAAAAGGTGGGAGGAGTGGGAAATTTGGAAGTGGAGATGAGGGGGAAGGTTGTGGGGAGGTGAGGGAGGGGAGGTGAAGTGAGGGGGGTAAATTTTTTAGAAGGTATTTATATGGGGTTTAAAATGGGGTAAGGTTGGGGTACCTATAGCAAAATTGTTCTCTTCATTCTTGTTGCACCCTGATGGAGTATATGGCCCAGGGACCCCCGGCCCACATACTTCCTCTACTACAATCAGGCCCAAAAGGCCTAAACGGGTCAAGCCCAGCAAAATGGAGCTCTAAGCAGCCCACAATACGCAAAGGGGTGCCTTCGTCCCCATGGCCGAAGGCTACCAGTGACGGAATCGAGCTCAGAAACATCACAAGAGAACAAGGCTTGAAAACCAAGCCTTCGGCAACTGCAGCCCTCGGCAGGTAGGAGCCCTCGGTTAGAAGAGGCATCACAGGAGAACAAGGCTTGAAAACCAAGCCTTCGGCACCTGCAGCCCTCGGCAGGTAGGAGCCCTCGGTTAGAAGAGGCATCACAGGAGAACAAGGCTTGAAAACCAAGCCTTCGGCACCTGCAGCCCTCGGCAGGTAGGAGCCCTCGGTTAGAAGAGCCTTCGGCCCAACACCCTTCAGCCAAAGGCATCCACCTCGACATAATATCCTCTTCACATGCGCCTGGATCACCGTACCAAGTACAAACGTCACATCCAACCACCGCATTTAATGTGGCCACATGCGAATGCCAGTGCCACCCCGGTCACATCCTTATCTAGCATTTATTACTACTATAAATAGCACCCCTTTCCCCCATTGTAAACCACGCTTAATACATATCGAATATACACTCTCTCTTACTTATTTGCTCTGACTTCTCTCTAGTTATTCTCCGCAATAACCACTCGAATAAGCTACCCCCCGGGTACACTATCCATCACACCCCCTCTCTCCCCCTACCTTCTTATTTCTCCTCTTTAGACCATTCCAATTTCCAAGCGGGGGAAATCCAAGCCTTTAAATATGGTTTCCCAAGCTGGGATGTTTTTACTTTGGACTGAAATTTATTGGTCTGATCTGGTCTTTTTTGGTCTGGTCTGGTTTGGTCTGAAATTTTATTTTTATATTTTTTGTATAAAGATTTTATTTTATATATATATTATAATCCATAAATAATTATATTTTGTTCATTTATAATTACAAATAATAATAACAATAATAACAATAACAATAATAATAATAATAATTAGGGGCGTGCACTATCCGGTTTAAACCACAAAACCAGACCGAACCGGAATGATATCCGGTTCGGTACGGTCTGGTCCGGTTTTGAATCGGTGCACACCCCTAATAATAATAATAATAATAATAATAATAATAATAATAATAATAATTAGGGGTGTGCACTAACCGGTTTAAACCGGAAAACCGGAACGGAAAAACCGGAACCGGATCAAACCGGAATGATATCCGGTCCGATTCGGTACGGTCCAGTCCGGTTTTGAACCGGTGCACACCCCTAATAATAATAATATTAATAATAATAATAATAATAATAATAATAATAAAAACAATAATAATAATAATAAGGGGTGTGCACTATCCGGTTTAAACCGGAAAACCGGACCGAATCGGACCGGAAAAACCGGAACCGGATCGAACCGGAATGATATCCGGTTCGGTATGGTCCGGTCCGGTTTTGAACCGGTGCACACCTCTAATAATAATAATAATAATAATAATAATAATAATAATAATAAAATATGGTCCGGTCTGGTCTGTTTTAGTCTGGTCTAGTCTGGTCTGGTCTGTTTTGGTCTGGTATGGTCTGGTCTTGTCTGGGACGAATTACAGTCCAAGTAAAAACAACCTTGCATACCACCATCAATAAAATACCTTCTTGATATTTTTTACATATGAATTTTGTAATAAATTAATAAAAAAATTGATTGTAATAATCCCAACTACTGGCGGTCCGCTAATAATAATCCCAACTATCGATTATTTCAGAATAATCCCAACTTTAGGGACCTTCCGCCAATGATGGTCCGACGTGACCGACAATAAATAAATTACTATAGTTTCTAAAAAGATATAGCAGGTAATCCCTATAAATAATCCCAAATTTTAATTTTTACGCTTAATTTCTATTAAAGATTCACTTGTTAGAGCATGTAATATGCGGTCATGGACCATTATTGGCGGACGGTCCATATAGTTGGGATTTTACAAAAATAATCAATAGTTGGGATTATTGTTAGCTGACCGACAATAGTTAGGATTATTATTTCCAATTTTTCCTAAATTAATTAGAATATTAGATTATTACAAATAATATTGTTTCTTTTAATTTTATATTTGTATAAATTATTAATTAAAAATAACGGAAAAATAAAATAAATTATTTAAATCGTTGGATTTCAATATCATTCCGTGGATCATGTTTTCCTCGTCCAACAACGTCAAAATGATCAGATCTGTTGGGTATAACATTTTTTAAATGGCATTGCGGGTACGCGGTGACGTCAGCGCAACGTCACAATGACATCACCAAATTGAGTTAAAAGCATGCACATCTGTCACAACCTTATCCCCGTTTTTTTCTTTTCTTTCCCTCTCTCAACCCACCATATTCTTTTAACCCCCTTCATCCCTTTTCTCACTTTAACCCCCTATTTAAGTCATCGCTACATTAAATTAGGAGACCAAAATTTTAAACTTTAACATTTTGGACTCTTAATCCCCTACCACTACAATGTCTTACAATTTCATAAATAAGTTTATTAAGCTCCTCCTATTTTTCACTAGAGCATCACGATTCTCGTGCTAATTATTTTTATGTTGCACGCTTTCAGATTAGAGAAAATCACATAAAGAATGACGTCATTACATAAAGTTTCTCTGTGAGGCCAATCTGGGAAACCACTGCCCCAAACATCTAGTGCCCTCACTAAATTTAGGGCTCTTTCATATTTAGGATTTTTTTCAAAAAAATATGAAGAAGTTTTTTCTGCTAACCATATCAAGTAAGATGTCACAAGTTCGAAACTCATCCCAGTCAAATATGCTCACATTTAACAGAGCCAATACTATAACATGTGAGAAAGTACACCCCAAAAAAGAAGACGATTTTCTCTTGTTCTTTTAATACATTTTACCTTTTTCATGACTTTTTCGGTTTTAGTTACAATTTAATGTTTATGTTTGACTATAATAATTTTAATTACTATAATTATTTATGTTTTCTGATGTGACCCAAATTATACAAGTTATGATGTTGATACCTTAACTATTTTGTGTCATTTTGTGATATACAGGTTGATGTTAGTTATTAAAATTGTAGTCTAACTATTTTTTATTTATTTTTATGCACATTACATGTTTGAGAAATGATTCAATGCATGTATTGTTCATATCTAAGATTTTGAGAAGAGACTTTAGTAAAATGCTTATTTTTTACAGATTCGTTGTACCCATTTGATGGTTTGCTTGTGTGAAGAACCTTTTTAACATATGTTGGTGAATTATATTTTGTTATAAAAATTATATATAACTTTCACGTGTAGAAGTTAGTAGTTTTGAATGTATAGAAATTAAATTTTAAGTACTAAAGGACGGTCTTGGAGACTCATTTTGCGAGTTAAATGCATAAATGATACTTTAACTATTGATAATGTTGCACTTTTGTACCTTAACTCTTAAATGAATCAAACCGGTACCTTAACTATATTTTATTCAAATTGAGATTTTATTCAAATTTCCAACCAAAAAATTATTCATGACAATCAAAATTTCATGTGTAGAGTCCCCCCTATAGTGATCATATGGACAAAAACAAGGTGAAGTAGACTTTATGCATAAAATTCTGGCCAACACATGTGATTTTTTGGTCAGAAATTTGAATAAAATCTCAATTCGAAACATTTATATATAGTTAATGTACCGTTTTGATTCATTTAAGAGTTCATTCATTTTCATTTACCCCAGTGCCGCAATGGCTCCCACCTACGATGGGGTAAGGGGGGGTCGGATTCATTTAAGAGTTAAGGTACTAAAATACAACATTACCAATAATTAAGATACCATTTATGCATTTGGCCCGGGTGTGACTAGATCCATTCTGCTTCATGAAACTTTTGGGATTAAAGATGGACATCAAAGAATGGTGGATTCCATATCGCAACCCAAAGTACATCTTGTGGGTTGATGATTTGAAGGTGAAATACTCACATATTGAATCAAACAGTCAAGAGTTCACTGCACCTACCATTGAAATACTCACATATTTTTATCTTATTTTATACTTTTTCTATCAATTTTAGCTCTGATTTCACTTGTGGATTCTTGTTAGTCGACTTCAAATTCTTTTGAGACTAAGGTTTATATGTTGTTATTATAATAAAAAAATGATCGAAAAAGTTAATAAGAGAATATAGTCTGTAGACCGTAAAAGGAGTCAACAGATTAAACTGTGATGCATATATATCATAGTCCAATATGAGTACTCTGTATGATAATTAGCTTGTATCTAAATAAAGGACAGAACATTTTAATAGATTTGTGTATTTGTTTCAGCTTCTAAAGATATATGAACTTCTTGTAATTAAACTACCCCAAATATATTCCAAATTAATTAAATTCGAAAGACAACTATATAAGTACAAAAAACCACAAATATTTGTCCAACGTTTCTGCTGACAATCAAACTTTTAATGAAGAGCTGCAAGCGGGTGTACTGCACCTAAACTGTTGATTGTTTGCCAATCCACAAAACAAAGTGCCAGGTGGCAAGTCAAACTCAGTCAACAGGCTGTGCTCACTGTTCCACACTCTAAGGTACACTTGTTGTCCTAGATATTTCCTTGGCCAAATTGCTGACCTTAAGTTCCACATTCCCTTATTGTCCAGAGACACCAATATAGCTGTCCAAGAATATGGATACACCTGAAATATAAAATTCTCTGTCAAAATTTCCCATGTTTTGATTCTATAACAATTATTAACCACCATTGTGTTTTGATTACATTAGTTACTTTTGGTACAATACTTCGATTTTCATAGTTACTAGTTAACATATGAATTTGATAATTAATTCGTAATATATCTAGTAAAACTCACAAAAAGTTGATTTCTAGAAAAAATGAAAAATGAAACTGAAATATCAAATACACAAAAGGCATTATATATTTATATTAGAGTAATAAACTAATGCATTGCAAGTAGCAGCCGTGGACTTTCACTTATAAGTTATAAGTACGTAGGGATTGTTTGGAAGTGCTTTTGCTTAAAAAAACACTTTTTGAAGTGGTTTTGGAAAAAGTGATTGGTATTAAAAGTTGATAGTGTTTGAGGAAAAAAATATTTTGAAAAAAAAGTTGGTAGTGTTTGCTAAAATAAGTGTTTTTTGTGTCATAGAAAAAATAAAAAGCATGTTTCACCCAAAAGTCGAGAAACACTTTTTTAAGTAGAAGGTGTCATTTGCAATAGTAAATCATGGTTGTTGGATAATTGTGGATAACCCAACAACAATATGCAAGACCCAATAACTAAGCCTACTTAGTAGGCCATTAGATAGGATATTGAGCCATAACCACACTTCTATTAATAGAAGAATATATGTTGTATGGAAGAGTCTTCTCTCTTCCTTTCAACACTTATTAAAGCCTAAAAGGTTATAAGTTTCATTAATGGCTCTGCATTTGTGATTATCTGATCTATTCATTCATTCATTCATTCACTTTATGTGTTCTTATTTGTATTTATATTCTATTTTTGACAATATTTATATTTATATTTATATTTATATTTATATTTATATTCTTGATACCATACAATAAGTCTTGTATTGATGACTTAACTTCAACAATGGTAACATAAAACCAAATGTATAATAAGTAGGTAACATGAGCATTGAGGAATGTTTTTTACCTGCACTGTATATCTAGGTGTAGCATCAATGAGATTATAGTTTTCCCTAAAAGAAGGATTCCATACACCATTTCCATACCTGAAATTTGAACATCAACTATATTAATCCACCCTGATTTTAATTAGTGTACTTTTGTTTGAGGTAAATTTCACTAAAATTGATGAATAAGTGAATTAAAACAATGCAGAATGTATGAATAGAAATTGAAGTTAAAACGTTATTTAGTACGTAGTATGAAGTATTATTTTTAATTAGATTGAAAATTTGTACACTTCTAGACATGATTTAGTCTGATATTTGCTACAGTTTTTGTTTTGGGGTGTATTTTAAAGTTTGCTACATTTCTCATTTTAATTTGGTAAGTTTTCCCTTAAAAAACTTACTTAATTGTTGGAAAAATGGTTTTACAAATTAATATTATGGTCATTAATATTATTTGTAAAAATCATTTTGAAATGAATGAGAAATTGTTTCTCGAAAGATAAGTGTGAAATTATATCTCACACGCAAACACCGTCACCGCCGTTCAGTAGGCCGGGTCAGGTTTCGGATTAGAGTCTTAAACCGTCCGCCCGAGTATATGGCTTAAAGATAATTCTATTAGTCACTCTTAATTTTGGATAATGTTTGGCAATAGACACATCCATTGGTTTTAGAAGGAAGGTCACAGCCTTTCTTTCTAAAGGTGTCTTTTGAGTGTAGAGTATCCTGAGAGAGCTCTATATATACCCATGACTGCCGGCATTTTCAACATATCCGAAAATCATCACACAATCCTCCATATTCTCTCATCGTTGCATCTTTGAGTTCGCCGGAATCCCGTTGGGAGCAAAGAACCGTTCTATCCTGGGAGACGCTTGCTACGTGTGTCGGGCAAAAACGTCTTAAGGAAACAACGCTTAAGTTGGGCTCGGTTACAAGTAATTTTAGATGTTTCCTTAATTATTTAATTATTATTTTATGTGCATGCAGAATATAATACATACATTTAACAATCTTAAGACGTTGTTTTTAATTACTAGAATCATTCTGTAATCCGTATGCGTTCATATTTCTGCTTTCGGTAATCAGTAGTACAATTTTTTTTTGTGTGCATATATGTTTCGCATGAGTTTGCATGACATGGATACAAATTAATTGTGCTTGGCTTTTTCTCCTTTCCGTGCATACACTGGTTATTTCTTTTAAACTACGAAGTATTTGTTTATTATCATTCTTTATATTAATGGGATATTTACTAATATATGACTAAAACATTGACAATTTCAGAATATATGATTAATACTTTTGTACATCCCAAAATATGATTAAATATTAGTTTTATACATACCAAACACTATCATATTGGGAAGAAAAAAGATAGAAGTCATATTTTGGGAAACACATTAAATTTTAGTCATATGTGGGTTAATTTTCTCTATATTAATTTAATACTATTCTCATTCTCACGTAAGTTTATTTATCTGGCATATCATTGCTTCTTTTATTTTCTAATTGTTAAACATTTCACCATTCTGCTAGCGGTTATTGTGATCATTAGGAATGTACATTTCGTTTACTTCTAAGTACATGCGTGTTCGTATTTGTACTTAATGTATTCTAATTTATAAGTATGTTTACATGCAATGTTTATTAATACTATCTAGTTGCCATGATATGTGTTCGTATGTGGATATCTATAATATATATGCATGTATGCATGTCTAACGTGGGTATATATGTCTCAATGTATGATCATCCCTCTGTTTAATTTATCTCAATTGCTGCGCATATAGTCTTTCACGTAAGTTTTGATAATTTAGTTTTTCTCATTCAATTGTATAATTTGTTAGTTTTCTTTTACCAGTTTGTTCCATTCAGTTTAATAATTTTGTTAGTCACTGTTGTATCAAGTAATTTTGTTTGCATATTTAACGTATTCTTTTATATACTGTGTATATATATTTTGTTATCCAAAACTATCAATTTTAATCATTGAATCCGATCCATCTGTTTTGTGCAAACAGAATGGGAGACGAATCCAACACTATTTTTCCAAAATTATCTCCGCTCACTACTGTCCCGGTCAGTTCATCTCATGGGGAGAAACCTAGCAAATTCAACGGTCATGATTTCAAACGTTGGCAACAAAAAATGTTGTTTTATTTAACGACGTTGAATTTGGCTAAGTATCTCTCCGAAAGCCAACCTCTTCTAGAGGAAGGCGAGACTGATAAGGAAAAAGTGGCCGCGGTGGATGCGTGGAAGTATTCGGATTTCTTGTGTAGAAATTATCTCTTAAACGGATTAGATGACTCCTTGTACTCCGTGTATGCCGATATAAAGACGGCTAAAGAATTATGGGAATCACTTGAGAAAAAATACAAGACCGAGGATGCCGGCAAAAAGAAATTTATTGTCGGACATTTCTTGGACTTTAAGATGGTTGACCACAAATCGGCCGTTTCTCAAGTTGAAGAATTCCAACTTATTCTTCATTAAATTCACGCTGAGGGTATGTCCCTTAGCGAGTCCTTCCAAGTGGCTGTGGTAATTGAAAAATTACCTCCCAAATGGAAAGACTTCAAGAATTACTTGAAGCATAAGCGTAAGGAAATGTCCCTAGAGGAGCTCATAGTCCGCTTAAGGATAGAGGAGGATAACCGCAAATCCAAGCATAAGGCTGGAAGATCTAATTCCATGGAAGCTAAAGCAAACATGGTGGAAGCGGGATCCAAGATGGGGAAGAAGAGAAAGCACAATGACGAAGGAATAAGTGGAGGGAAGCCTTCGTCAAAGAAGTTCAAAGGAAAGTGCTATAATTGTGGCAAGCCCGGTCACCGTGGTAAGGACTGTCGTGCTCCTAAGAAAAAGAAGACCGGACAAGTCAATATTGTGGACGACCTCTCCGATGATATGGGTGAAATGAATCTATGTGCCGTGGTATCTCAATGCAATTTAGTGGGTAACACTAACGAATGGTGCATTGATACTAGAGCTACCCGACATATTTGTGCTAACAAGTGGATGTTCACCGATTATCAACGAGTTGATAACGAGGAACAACTGTTTATGGGTAACTCCTCTACATCTAAAGTGGAAGGTCGTGGCAAAGTTGTCCTCAAAATGACAAGTGGGAAAACTATTACCTTGAACGATGTGCTACATGTCCCTGATATACGCAAGAATCTAGTTTCGGGCTCCCTCCTTAGCAAGAATGGCTTTAAACTAGTCTTTGTGGCTGATAAATTTGTACTTACTAAAAATGATGTGTTTGTAGGGAAGGGCTATCTCAATGATGGTCTCTTCAAAATGAATGTACTTACCGTTGTACACAAACTTGTTGATAATAATAAAGTGGGTTCTTCTTACTTGGTTGAGTCTTCTTCTGTTTGGCATGCTAGATTAGAACATGTAAATTATGATACTTTGCGTAGACTAATGCATTTAGAGTTGCTTCCTAAATGTCATATTGATCCTAATCACAAATGTCAAATTTGTGTCGAAGCGAAAATGGCTAGAAAACCTTTTCACTCTATCACAAGAGAAAGTGAACCGCTAGACCTCATACATACGGATCTATATGATCTTAAGTATGAAGAAACTAGAGGTGAGAAAAGGTATTTCATAACCTTCATCGATGATAGAACTAGATATTGCTATCTGTATTTGCTAAGAAGCAAAGATGAAGCGATTAATGCTTTTAAGCATTATAAAGCCAAAGTTGAAAATCAACTTGGTAAGAAGATTAAGGCACTAAGGAGTGATAGAGGTGGTGAGTATGAATATCCATTTGAATCAATTTGTTTGGAAAGTGGAATTATTCATCAAGTAACCGCTCCTTATACGCATCAATCAAATGGAGTAGCCGAAAGGAAGAACATGACTTTAAAGGACATGGTTAATGCCATGTTAGTAAGTTCTCGTGCACCAAACAATTTGTGGGGGATGTTGTTTTAGCTGCCAATTACATTCTAAATAGAATGCCCCACGAGAAAACTCTTAAAATTCCATATGAGTTATGGAAAGGGCGCAAGCCGAGTTTTAATTACTTGAAGGTGTGGGGATGTCTAGCTAAAGTAGCTATTCCCAAACCTAAGAGGACAAAACTTGGACCAAAGACCATTGATTGTGTCTTTGTTGGATATGCACAAAATAGTAGTGCATATCGTTTCCTTGTTCACAAATCCCATAACATGGATATAGTGGCCGATACTTTTATAGAATCTAGAGACGCTACATTCTTTGAGAATGTATTCCCTTTCAAGGGAGATTGTGCAGTTGTCTCCTCCAACATGGATGTTTTCATTCCAACCCATGTCGAAGAAACAAACTCACATAAGAGGCTTTTTTATTCTATAAAAGATAACAACGAAATAACGCAAGAATGTGAAGGGGGACGCAACAAAAGGGCTCGAAAATCAAAGGATTTTGGACCCGATTTTGTTGTATACCTTCTAGACAATGAGCCTCAAACTTATAAGGAAGCCATGTCCTCACCAGACGCTGCCCAATGGCAAGAGGCTATCAAGAGTGAAATTGATTCCATCATGTCTAATCACGTTTGGAAAGTTGTAGATTTGCCTCCTGGATCTAAACCTCTAGGATGCAAATGGATCTTCAAAAAGAAAAGAAGAACTGATGGAACAATTGAAAAGTACAAAGCTCGATTGGTTGCCAAAGGATACAACCAAAAGGGAGAATTTGACTACTTCGATGTCTACTCTCCAGTTACAAAAATAACTTCAATTCGAATGCTATTGGCAATAGCTGCATTGAAGGGTTTGGAAATCCATCAAATGGATGTAAAAACTGAATTCTTAAACGGTGACTTAGAGGAAGAGATTTACATGCAACAACTTGAAGGTTTCATTGTCCCTGGACAAGAAAGAAAGGTTTGTCGCCTAGTAAAATCTCTGTATGGAATAAAGCAAGCCCCCAAACAATGGCATGATAAATTTGATAGTGTAATGCTGTCAAATGGATTTAAAATCAACGAGGCCGACAAATGTGTGTATGTGAAAGGCAATCAAAATGACTACGTCATAGTTTGTCTATACGTAGATGATATGCTCATTTTTGGTAGTAACAATAATTTGATAAAGGCTACCAAAAGCATGTTGGCCAAGAAATTTGAAATGAAAGATCTCGATGTTGCGGATGTAATTCTAGGAATTAAAATCATTAGAACACCCGAAGGGTTGATATTATCTCAATCACACTACATTGAGAAAATGCTTGAGAGATTCAAGAAGTATAATATCAAACCCATGAGAACTCCTTTTGATTCCAGTGTTCACCTCAGTAAAAACAGAGGAGAAAGTGTTTCACCAGATGACTATCCTCGAGTCATAGGATGTTTAACATATGTCATGAATGGAACGCGACCCGATATAGCTCAAGCTGTGAATAAGCTAAGTCGGTTTTCAATAAACCCCGGTAGAGAACATTGGAAAGCGCTTATAAGGGTGCTTGGGTATTTGATGTATACCAAAGACTATGGTTTACATTTTCAAAAATATCCAGCCGTGCTTGAGGGATATACCGATGCAAATTGGATATCCGATTCCAAGGACACAAAATCAACGAGTGGATATGTGTTTACCCTTGGAAGTGGTTCCGTGTCGTGGAAATCTTCCAAACAAACATGTATTGCTAGATCTACCATGGAAGCTGAATTCATTGCCTTAGATAAGGTTGGAGAAGAAGCTGAATGGTTGAGAGAGTTTTTGGAAGATCTTCCTTGTTGGGAAAAGCTTGTCCCTCCAATATCCATTCATTGTGATAGTCAAGCTGCAAATGGAAGGGCAAGGAATGCAGTTTGTAACGGTAAGTCTAGGCACATCCGTCGTAGACATAATACCGTTAGAAAACTAATAAAAAAATGGGATCATCTCTCTTGACTATGTTAAGTCGAAAGAAAATATTGCGGATCCGCTAACCAAACCTCTACCGAGAGAGTTGGTCGAGACGTCAAGGAGAGCAATGGGCATACGGCCAATGATCCAATAAAAGTCCATGGGGAAACCCTACCTATTATTGAGAGTGCCTCATAATTAGGTTCAAAGGGAAAACACAACTTTGGACTGGCTCGGGCGGTACTAGCCAAGATATAGTACACTCATGCCAAGAGCATTTAGGGTAAGTTACGCTTTTAATGATCTCTATATCTTGATTCGTTCAAGTAAAGTATGGCATGATACCTTCCATAGAGATTACCTATTCTGCTGGAAGAAGACCGCTTCTATGAGAGTTTATGGCACGAGATAAATTCTCCGGTGCACGATAAACTCTCGAAAACACTAGCTGAACCAGGAGGTGTTCAAGGCCGAAACGAACACAAACGTGAGAACCAAAGATGCACCTGGGGCTCTGTTTGTTATTCATTGTCTAGGTTTACACATTGGCTGATGGTTCAAAGCAAAGTGCTACCGATTGTCCAGTAAATCTGATGGATATACACTAAGGTAGGTTCAAAGTTTCACGACTACCTAACCCTATGCAGAGTTCCCATCTTCCCATGTCAAATTCCAATATGTTTCCTGTCTTTAAGCCAATTTCCCATTCATGTGGGGGGGGTTGTTGGAAAAATGGTTTTACAAATTAATATTATGGTCATTAATATTATTTGTAAAAATCATTTTGAAATGAATGAGAAATTGTTTCTCGAAAGATAAGTGTGAAATTATATCTCACACGCAAACACCGTCACCGCCGTTCAGTAGGCCGGGTCGGGTTTCGGGTTAGAGTCTTAAACCGTCCGCCTGAGTATATGGCTTAAAGATAATTCTATTAGTCGCTCTTAATTTTGGATAATGTTTGGCAATAGACACATCCATTGGTTTTAGAAGGAAGGTCACGACCTTTCTTTCTAAAGGTGTCTTTTGGGTGTAGTCTCCTGGCCAGAGCTCTATATATACACATGACTGCCGACATTTTCAACATATCCGAAAATCATCACACAATCCTTCATATTCTCTCATCGTTGCATCTTTGAGTTCGCCGGAATCCCGTTGGGAGCAAAGAACCGTTCTATCCTGAGAGACGCTTGCTACATGTGTCGGGCAAAAATGTCTTGAGGAAACAACGCTTAAGTTGGGCTCGGTTACAAGTAATTTTAGATGTTTCCTTAATTATTTAATCATTATTTTATGTGCATGCAGAATATAATACATACATTTAACATTAATTACCCATATTTTCTCTACTTTTAATCATCATCTTTCATACCTTTACACTTTCTCTTTTACTTTTTTCTACAATATTCATCACGTCTATAACTTTTTCTCACCTACTTTTTCTAAACTAACGTAGCATTCTTTAAAATACGGAAAGTGTATAATTTGGTAAATGTTTATTATATATTTATTTTATTATTTCCTAAATTTGCTCTAATACTGAAATCGATACTACTAAAATCATCCATTCATCCTTAGACCTAGTATGATATGATATGTCAGGGTTGAGCCAGAGCACTTGGTCGGACTGGACCGGTACAAAGAATATATTTGGAAAAAAAATTAAACGGAATTTTTTATGCTAAAAATATGAACATTTTTTAAATTTAGAATGGACCAAAGCAAGGTTGGCGCTCCCCTGCTCCGCCCCTGGAATATCAATAATATCACCATTTTGCCCCTAAAAGTAATGTGAAATGAATAGAAGAGAGGAGGTGAGAGCATACGCAACAGGCCAAAAGGCATGGCCATCGAGGTGATAAGACTGGAGGGTGTTCTCGGCATTCTGAAATATTATTTCCGTGAAGTCGTGAAGCTGACAACCAAAGACGGCGACGCCAAGAACGGCGGCGCTTGGCGGGGGGACATCTTGGATAGTGTTTAAGTTGAAAACTCCGGTGATGTTGAGCCAATCGGCAAGTTTTAATGGCGTCGATGGGTCAACGTAAGAGACCTTATTGATGGCATAACGTCTTCTCCCGTCAATAACCTCTTTGGAGTTGGCTAGTACAATGGTCCTCCTCGTATGGATCCTTCCGTAACGGAACGACCCCTGTGGGTTAGGCCTTGCTCCATTTGCCGTCAAATTCCACCTGCACCAAAATTATTTTGACCATTGGTCAAACATAACCATTTTTTCTCCAAAACTTTGGTATTTCAAGTATAGAAATTGCTCTAAATAGGAGCAAAAATATTTTGAAATTCCGAAATAGGAGTATCATATTTTTTATTCCCTGAATAGGAGTAATCTGCAAGTTTGGAAAAAAATGAAATGTTTAAAAGCCTAGTAATGTCAAACTTGGAAGAAATTTACTGTTATTTAAGGAATAAAAAACATGATAGTCCAGTTTTGGAATTTCAAAACTTTTTTACTCCTATTTAGGGAATTCTCTCTTTCAAGTACTATCCTTCCTTCCTTAAATTTTGCAACAGTTTGACTTTCACGTTTGCCAACACACAACTTTGACTGTAATTATAGTTAATTATGTATTAGTAAACTTTATAAAAATTTATTATTTTGGAATTTCACATTGATAGGAATTTAATAACAATTTATACGTAATAATTTGATTATGTATATGAGTAGAAAATCGTGCTCAAAGTAAGGTCTGTGAATAGTGCAAAAATCACAATGTTGCAAGAATTAAAGAATGGAGGAAGTACGGAGTATTAATTTTGTAGTTTATACTTCATCCATCTAAAATTAATTTGCACAAAATGGTTTCTATGTTTGATCGAGCAAAAAGATACTCCGTAATTCTTACCCCATAATCGATAAGATTCAATGTTAGTGATTAATGTTTTTAATTTTAAACATTAAATTAAAAATTCTATTAAATCACCAAAATTAAATTTGTAAATAATTAATTACTACCTCCGTTCCACCGAATGTGTCCCACTTTCTTTTGATACAATTATTAAAAAAGTGGTTGAAAAAGTAAAAGTTGTGGTTGAAATTTAAGTACGTAGTATAATATAATAAAATGAAATGTTGTAGATCACATAATTATTTCCAGAAAAAAACGAAAGTAAGATATGTATAAGGGGACGGAGGGAGTATAAAATGATACTCAAATCAAGAGTTTTGAGTAAAATGAAACCTTATTGACCAAAAAAAAGGTTTTGCCACTTTTGGTTCCCGACTATTGTGTTAATGACACTTTTGGTTCTCAACTTTTAATCTTTCCATTCTTAGTCCTCGATTATTTTGCGAGAGACACTTTTGGTCCTCAACAACCAAATTTTCTACATTAGTCCCCTGAGTATTATCAAATTGACACTTTTGGTCCTTCCACTATGACTTGACACAATAAGTGAAGAACTAAAAATGTCACTATTATGATAATTGAAGGACCAAAATTGACACTTTTATGGAAGTCGAAGGACAAAACATGGATATTTTTAAAGACGGATACCAAAAATGTCTTTTGCACAATAGTTGAAGGACTAAAAGTAGAAAAATTCAATGCCAAGTAACAAAAGTGTCAGTGACATAAAACACTTGGAGAACTCAAAGTGACAGAAAACTCTACTCTTAGACCATGTCTAAAACAATTGGAAATTACTTTAGGATGAAGTATTTGAGCGCATATGATCTGAAAAGGTTTACCTGAGAGCCATGGCTTGCCGCATTGACCAGGGATATTGACCTGCTGGAGCATGAGGCAACTGTCCTACAGCTTTGGTTGTGGATCCATCATAATGAAGGATTGATATAGCATTAAGAACCGGCTTTACAAAGCGAGAAGATGCCACAATGTAGTAATCTTTAACATCTCTGTCTAAAGTGACCAAAAACGCCACAGATTGGCCAACATGGATGTCAAAGGAGTCGTATTGGTTTTGAACTGTGTGGCCACCTTCCACTTCAACCAGAGTCAACTTATGGTCTTGGATCTTGAAGTTTATTGATGTTGCCATGCCCACATTTGACACCCTAAACATGTATGTTTGTCCTGATTCCAAAATACACATAGTTGATTCAGCACATTCATAAAAGAAATTACATTTAATTTTACCATGGGATGTTAAATCAATGTTAAGTAAATTAGAATTACTACTTATCTCTTGGTCGATACAAGAAAAGGTAAATGAATATTTAGCAAGCCAAAAAGACACAGACGTGTGGGCAGTGGCGTATCCAGACATTTATGTGAGCGGGGGCGAACTCGCACTAGAAATTTATTATCTCGGAAATGTCACAACAATTAAACACATAAAATATTGCAAAATTAATTATAAATAACAAATATTTGTTCGAAAAAAAATTATGATATCATACTTAATAAATTCAACTTTATCAGCAACAAAAAATCACACAATTTTTATTTTATTTGAAATTATGTTGATAAATCAATGCAAAACCACTGGGCTAGATGTTATCTTGTTGCAAAACACTACAAGTAATATATAAGATCTCTATATTCATCACAATATATATATAATTAAATATTAAATTAAATATATATAGGGGTTGGGTGGGGTTGGGTGGGGTTGAGTGGGGGCAGCTGCCCCCCCACCCCCACGTTGGATACAACCCTGCGTGTGGGTAATGGGTAACATATCATGATCTAACTCTCCATATTTTTAATTGGATCCAAATTTTCTGAACTAGTCACGTTTGTTCAAGATGGGTCTAGCTAGTCTGATCTAAACAAGTCTAGTTTGGTCGGGTAACTCTTTGTTCTATGGGTATGTTTGGCACAACTAGCTAAAAAGATACTTTTATGAAATTTTTAGTAATTGCTAGCATTTAATGATTAATAAGATCTTAATAGGAATGATAGTAGCTACTACCTCCGTCCCGCTATGATTGTCCCGCTTTATCTTATCGGTCCGTCCCACTAAGATTGTCCCATACCAAATTCGGTAAAGTTTGTGTGGCCCTAAATCATTCTTACTTTATTCTTACTTTATCAATTCAATATCAACCACATAAATCACTTTTTATTCATTTACGTGTCACTCCCTCTCAAGGAAGGAGCCAGGATGTGATCAAGAGGGGGGCCGGGGTGAAATAAAAAATTACTCCCTCCGTCCCAAAAACAGCTTCCCACTTTCCTTAAATGGATGCCCCAAAATTAACTTCACACTTCTTCCCACCTCCTTATTTTGCAAATTATCTACATCAAAACATTGTCAAACAGTGTCAAACAGTGCCAAACAGTGTCCAAACAGTAAAATTTACTCCCTAGTAAGTTTATTTCCTTAATATGTGTGCTAGTCAAATTGTGAAGTTGTTTTTGGTACGGAGGGAGTAAATAATAACATATCAAATTTACATGCAATAAACATTAAATAATGTATTACATAGTATCCGCCGTAGCAATTATACTTGTTGGCAAAGTTGAAAAAATGTACTAATATACGTAGTACCTCAAAAAAATACATGAGTAAACGTCATGCAAATTAAAATTTAGAAATCGTGCTTGCATGTCATAAAACTAGTGCTCTACTGGTTTAATACCCAGGCTCTAATATAACTTAAGCTCTCAATTTCATCTCTAATCTAAGACAATATATACTAACACCTTCTTTAATGATTAATTTTGTCCACATGGACCAATCAGATTGTTGCAGTTGAATTATTTAAGTCTGAATTAAAAATGATATACATGTTTGGACCAATCAAGTGAATGGTAGGTACGGTACCCTGTTTTTTAAATGGGTACCGGAGTTCTCACCAAAAATAAAATACGTTGGGAGGGGCCATGGCCCCCCTGGGGTTACCTATAGATCCGTCCCTGCTCCCTCTTGTCCCATTGTTAGCGGGTCGGAGGGAGTATTTAATAAAAATCTAACTATTTGATGCAGAGTATGTTTGGTTGACGTAAGTTCCTAACTTTTAGCTTTTGTATTATTTAAAAAGCCTCTAAAAGCTTCTAGTTGGTTGTTTGCAATGACAGGTTTTAAGAGCTTTTAAAAAATAAAAGGTCTTTTTTGAGATGTTACAATGAGTAACATCTGAAAAAGTCTGTAACTTTTAGTATTAATTAGTCTCAACAGCTTACATGTCAAGCAGAACTATATTAAACAGTTAGCCTCTATGTCTATTTAACTATTTCCAAAGTCAGTCCCGATTGATATGGAAACCAATCTAACAAAAACATCTTATATGGAAAAACTGGGAAATCAAATCAAAATACAAATGATTCGATTAAATTAAGTTAGTTTGTAATGATTCAATTCGGTTTGATGCACATTTCTCATTCTCCATACCAACTATTGAATAATGAATTCCCTAGCAATTAACTCAAGCTACAAACTCACCTCTAATTCCAGTAAAGGTAACATAATTTGGGCCACCTCCATTGATAATTAGTCCATCGGGAGGAGGGAAAGGGTTTCCCATATCTAGTTCTCTTTGTAGAATCTGGCGGGAAGAAAAGATCACACACATACTCCATATTCCATACGCAAACTATTTATTTAAAACCAATCCAGGAATATAGACAAAAATTGCAAGATTGATTAATGATATATAGGGATGGACTCGGTCCGCTGGTCCCGACTGAACTGGATCTGGCCCCGAAACTGTTTGGGACCGGTTCGGAACTGGTTTTCCGGCTTTGGTCCAGGACCGCCCCCTTCCCCATCGATCCGGGTGCCATTTTCTCCGACCAGTGTGTCCAGAATACGAATACGAATATACATATATTCAATTGGTAAGTTATTCGAATATATTCGATTTGTATATTTATGAATTATAAATATATATTCTATTATATTTATAATTTATATAATTGTTTAAAATTAAAATATAAAATAGGTAATATGTATTCTAGGTTTAAACCCTACTCGGACTACCGTCTCTAACTCTTGCCGTCTCCACTTCGAATTTTTGAAATAATTCATTTAATAGACATTTGTGAAAATCGAAAAAGGCCTAAAATGAGTCATAATTTGAAAAGGTGAATTTTTTTGACACTTCAAATATTTGAATTGGAATTCGTATATTCGATTTCGAATTCGAATATTCGAATATGTATATACTCAAATACAATAAACGAATCGAATATGAATCTATTGTAAGATTCGAATAATATCCGAATTGAATCGAGGTGAGTTTGTAGCTTGAGTTAATTGCTAGGGAATTCATTATTCAATAGTTGGTATGGAGAATGAGAAATGTGCATCAAACCGAATTGAATCATTACAAACTAACTTAATTTAATCGAATCATTTGTATTTTGATTTGATTTCCCAGTTTTTCCATATAAGATGTTTTTGTTAGATTGGTTTCCATATCAATCGGGACTGACTTTGGAAATAGTTAAATAGACATAGAGGCTAACTGTTTAATATAGTTCTGCTTGACATGTAAGCTGTTGAGACTAATTAATACTAAAAGTTACAGACTTTTTCAGATGTTACTCATTGTAACATCTCAAAAAAGACCTTTTATTTTTTAAAAGCTCTTAAAACCTGTCATTGCAAACAACCAGCTAGAAGCTTTTAGAGGCTTTTTAAATAATACAAAAGCTAAAAGTTAGGAACTTACGTCAACCAAACATACTCTGCATCAAATAGTTAGATTTTTATTAAATACTCCCTCCGACCCGCTAACAATGGGACAAGAGGGAGCAGGGACGGATCTATAGGTAACCCCAGGGGGGCCATGGCCCCTCCCAACGTATTTTATTTTTGGTGAGAACTCCGGTACCCATTTAAAAAACAGGGTACCGTACCTACCATTCACTTGATTGGTCCAAACATGTATATCATTTTTAATTCAGACTTAAATAATTCAACTGCAACAATCTGATTGGTCCATGTGGACAAAATTAATCATTAAAGAATGTGTTAGTATATATTGTCTTAGATTAGAGATGAAATTGAGAGCTTAAGTTATATTAGAGCCTGGGTATTAAACCAGTAGAGCACTAGTTTTATGACATGCAAGCACGATTTCTAAATTTTAATTTGCATGACGTTTACTCATGTATTTTTTTGAGGTACTACGTATATTAGTACATTTTTTCAACTTTGCCAACAAGTATAATTGCTACGGCGGATACTATGTAATACATTATTTAATGTTTATTGCATGTAAATTTGATATGTTATTATTTACTCCCTCCGTACCAAAAACAACTTCACAATTTGACTAGCACACATATTAAGGAAATAAACTTACTAGGGAGTAAATTTTACTGTTTGGACACTGTTTGGCACTGTTTGACACTGTTTGACAATGTTTTGATGTAGATAATTTGCAAAATAAGGAGGTGGGAAGAAGTGTGAAGTTAATTTTGGAACATCCATTTAAGGAAAGTGGGAAGTTGTTTTTGGGACGGAGGGAGTAATTTTTTATTTCACCCCGGCCCCCTCTTGATCACATCCTGGCTCCTTCCTTGAGAGGGAGTGACACGTAAATGAATAAAAAGTGATTTATGTGGTTTATATTGAATTGATAAAGTAAAAATAAAGTAAGAATGATTTAGGACCACACAAACTTTACCGAATTTGGTATGGGACAATCTTAGTGGGACGGACCGATAAGATAAAATGGGACAATCATAGCGTGACGGAGGTAGTATCTACTATCATTCCTATTAAGATCTTTTTAATCATTAAAAGCTAGCAATTACTAAAAATTTCATAAAAGTATCTTTTTAGCTAGTTGTGCCAAACATACCCATAGAACAAAGAGTTACCCGACCAAACTAGACTTGTTTAGATCAGACTAGCTAGACCCATCTTGAACAAACGTGACTAGTTCAGAAAATTTGGATCCAATTAAAAATATGGAGAGTTAGATCATGATATGTTACCCATTACCCACACGCAGGGGCGTATCCAACGTGGGGGCGGGGGGCAGCTGCCCCCACTCAACCCCACCCAATCCCTATATATATTTAATTTAATATATAATTATATATATATTGTGATGAATATAGAGATCTTATATATTACTTGTAGTGTTTTGCAACAAGATAACATCTAGCCCAGTGGTTTTGCATTGATTTATCAACATAATTTCAAATAAAATAAAAATTGTGTGATTTTTTGTTGCTGATAAAGTTGAATTTATTAAGTATGATATCATAATTTTTTGTTGAACAAATATTTGTTATTTATAATTAATTTTGCAATATTTTTTTAATGTGTTTAATTGTTGTGACATTTCCGAGATAATAAATTTCTAGTGCGAGTTGGCCCCCGCTCACATAAATGTCTGGATACGCCACTGTCCACACGTCTGTGTCTTTTTGGCTTGCTAAATATTCATTTACCTTTTCTTGTATCGACCAAGAGATAAGTAGTAATTCTAATTTACTTAACATTGATTTAACATCCCATGGTAAAATTAAATGTAATTTCTTTTATGAATGTGCTGAATCAACTATGTGTATTTTGGAATCAGGACAAACATACATGTTTAGGGTGTCAAATGTGGGCATGGCAACATCAATAAACTTCAGGATCCAAGACCATAAGTTGACTCTGGTTGAAGTGGAAGGTGGCCACACAGTTCAAAACCAATACGACTCCTTTGACATCCATGTTGGCCAATCTGTGGCGTTTTTGGTCACTTTAGACAGAGATGTTAAAGATTACTACATTGTGGCATCTTCTCGCTTTGTAAAGCTGGTTCTTAATGCTATATCAATCCTTCATTATGATGGATCCACAACCAAAGCTGTAGGACAGTTGCCTCATGCTCCAACAGGTCAATATCCCTGGTCAATGCGGCATGCCATGGCTCTCAGGTAAACCTTTTCAGATCATATGCGCTCAAATACTTCATCCTAAAGTAATTTCCAATTGTTTTAGACATGGTCTAAGAGTAGAGTTTTCTGTCACTTTGAGTTCTCCAAGTGTTTTATGTCACTGACACTTTTGTTACTTGGCATTGAATTTTTCTACTTTTAGTCCTTCAACTATTGTGCAAAAGACATTTTTGGTATCCATCTTTAAAAATATCCATGTTTTGTCCTTCGACTTCCATAAAAGTGTCAATTTTGGTCCTTCAATTATCATAATAGTGACATTTTTAGTTCTTCACTTATTGTGTCAAGTCATGGATATTTCTACTCTGGATATTTTCTACTCTGGATGAAATTTATTACTCAGGGGACTTATGTAGAAAATTATCATTTTTATCATAATAGTGACATTTTTAGTTCTTCAATTATCCTTTCTACTCTTTGAAAGGATATTTTCAAAGAAGGACCAAAAGTGTCAATTTGATAATACTCAGGGGACTAATGTAGAAAATTTGGTTGTTGAGGACCAAAAGTGTCTCTCGCAAAATAATCGAGGACTAAGAATGGAAAGATTAAAAGTTGAGAACCAAAAGTGTCATTAACACAATAGTCGGGGACCAAAAGTGGCAAAACCTTTTTTTTGGTCAATAAGGTTTCATTTTACTCAAATCTCTTGATTTGAGTATCATTTTATACTCCCTCCGTCCCCTTATACATATCTTACTTTCGTTTTTTTCTGGAAATAATTATGTGATCTACAACATTTCATTTTATTATATTATACTACGTACTTAAATTTCAACCACAACTTTTACTTTTTCAACCACTTTTTTAATAATTGTATCAAAAGAAAGTGGGACACATTCGGTGGAACAGAGGTAGTAATTAATTATTTACAAATTTAATTTTGGTGATTTAATAGAATTTTAATTTAATGTTTAAAATTAAAAACTTTAATCACTAACATTGAATCTTATCGATTATGGGGTAAGAATTACGGAGTATCTTTTTCCTCGATCAAACATAGAAACCATTTTGTGCAAATTAATTTTGGATGGATGAAGTATAAACTACAAAATTAATACTCCGTACTTCCTCCATTTTTTAATTCTTGCAACATTGTGATTTTTGCACTATTCACAGACCTTACTTTGAGCACGATTTTCTACTCATATACATAATCAAATTATTACGTATAAATTGTTATTAAATTCCTCTCAATGTGAAATTCCAAAATATTAAATTTTTATAAAGTTTACTAATACATAATTAAGTATAATTACAGTCAAAGTTGTGTGTTGGTAAACGTGAAAGTCAAACTGTTGCAAAATTTAAGGAAGGAAGGATAGTACTTGAAAGAGAGAATTCCCTAAATAGGAGTAAAAAAGTTTTGAAATTCCAAAATAGGACTATCATGTTTTTTATTCCTTAAATAAGAGTAAATTTCTTCCAAGTTTGACATTACTAGGCTTTAAAACATTTCATTTTTTTCCAAACTTGCAGATTACTCCTATTCAGGGAATAAAAAATATGATACTCCTATTTCGGAATTTCAAAACATTTTTGCTCCTATTTAGAGCAATTTCTATACTTGAAATACCAAAGTTTTGGAGAAAAATGGTTATGTTT